GAGAAACCGAGGAATGAAGGTTCGTTCCAGAATGTGTAAGACAGTTTTGTTGCTGTGTGTTTGACAAACGTGAATGATATATTTTTTTGCTTATGTCCGTTCCATTTGTGTCGTTTATCGTCGTTTCTATCCTCATTTATTTGCTTTATACGTAATCAAAATTAACAAGAGAGAGGCTAAAGTTAATAACTACGTGTCAACTATTTTACGGTCATAGTGTAGATGGAAAATCGCCTAATTTTTCTTTGTCTTTTGTGTCTCAGATCCATGATTATGACACTAAAAGTACATTTTTGCAGCACCTGAACACTTGCACCTTCAGAATAAATATAAGGAGATTCTGTCCAACAGTTATAAGATGCTATTATTGAAATGATATTCTTATATAAATGCGGGAGAAGCCCACTAGAAAACTTTTTTTTTAAAGAGCAGTTTTTATGTATCACTTTTCTCAGCATTTATTAATGCCTTCCTTTGACTATGTACTATTGATATATTTGTTGTTAAAAGTGTCATTCCTATTCCCTCTCTCATGTATGAATCGCTTTTGTTTTATTGCATGAAACAGAAAATTAATTTGGTGTAAAGGGCATCTAATTAGCTTTCTTTATTATGCCTATCTACAATTTTCTCTATTTTGTTGTCATTATTCAGAGGTTGTGATTGTTGAAGTGAAGGTACGTTACTAAACTTTTGTGTTCATACCATTTAATTTGACACGATAAATTACACAAAAGATCTACGAAAAATGTAGGTTCCGTCTTTTTCTTTCAAAGATAGAAATTTTTTACACAAGTTTTCGTCGGCTGCAAATCTATACCCACCCTCGGTTCAGACATTTCCACACCATCGAACACCTTTATTTCATCTTCAATAGCTAAGAACTGCGCTGAGCTGTACAAATCTGGTCAAAGGATCAGCGTTGTTTACACAATCGACCCGGATGGTTCAGGCGCCTTTAATGTATACTGTGACCAAACTACAACCGGTGGGGGATGGACGGTGATCCAGAAGAGAATGGATGGCTCAGTCGATTTTAACCGCACCTGGGATGACTACAAGCATGGCTTCGGTAACTTGGTCGGTGAATTTTGGCTCGGACTAGACAAGATAAATCGCCTGACACGAAACAAGACAAAGAACAAGCTTCGAGTAGATCTTGGAGTAAAAACTGGCAAAACTGTGCACTCTGAGTATGGCTGGTTTGGAATTGGGACCGAGACAGCTAAGTACTCGCTAAACCTTGGCAAAATCATAGGTAAGTAGACCGTTTTTTAGCATTCATCCCTCGATCTTAATACGTTACTCCTCTCTCATCAAAATCTCGATCTAAAACTCCACGTGGTCGAATAACGAAGTAGACCCACATGTCCGGATTGGTTCTTACTCGGTCGAGAGTTTGGTCCGAGTGCCACATAAGAAACTTCTTACTAACCTTATTTTATTTATTTATTTATTTTTTTCTTTTTTTACGGAAAACAACAAGTTTGAAATTACAAAGACACTATACGAACCCTTGAATTATGCGGATTTCTTTTGTTCTGTTTTGAAACAGATGCCACTGTTTCCAATGATTCCCTCGGTCCTCATAAAGGTTCCGGTTTTGGTACCTGGGATAAGGTTCCTGCTGGTTGTACTCAAAAAATAGGAGGAGGCTGGTGGTATGACAGCAGTATTACTAAATGTGCTATTTTGTCAAATCTCAATGGTATTTATCCACGTTGTGGAAAAGAAACCTCGGCCGCTATTCACTGGGGATACTTAGATTCTCGCAGTCCCAAGAGAAGCGCTCCAACATCAACTGAAATGAAAATAAGACCAGTGGAATTTACGCACGTGGCTTGAATTCTACTTACATGAAATGTGCATCTACTTAATCGATGCCGTTTGCAAAAATCAAGAAGCAGTTTGTTTTACAATAAAACACCGATTACTTTTTTCAATCTCTTTACTTCAAGACTTTTAGATTTTTAGAATGCAAATTAGATTAATGACAGCATCATAGACTCGACTACACTTTTGTTGCAAAGAAGATATACCGTAATCAGTTGGTTTCAAAAATACTTTATTATTTGCAGACTTTATGGGATTTGTTTAGAATAATACGATTAAAATGTCACCAAACATAGTTTTGGGAAAAACATATTCTCATAACACGAAAATTAATTCAGAAGAATTATATATACAGTGGAACACTATATGCCATAAGATAGAGTTTATATACGTTGTGTTATTAATAATATAGTTTTTATATTGTCTATGGATTTTTTAAGCTTTGCTATCTTAGTACTATCAAAGATAAGATCAGAAAAGGTACCTTTAAAATGTGACTTTATAATTTGTGAAGAAATAAAGACTGCTTTACAATATTTCTACCTCTACTTAAAACTCTTATTGATTGAGTTACCATGGGAATCCACATGTCGAAGACCTCCTATGCTCGAGGAATACTGAGCCTACAATGGTTTTCAATTTGATATTTGCAGTGAGGATCTTTCGCTTGATCTGACAAATACGTTATAGTATCAAAGTCCACCTCCGCTTGACCCAATTTTGTTAAAAGTCATCCACAGTTTATTGAAATTACTCTGTAATGTGATACCTTCATTCGGTCAGATTTTGATTGACACCATTTTCATTCTCTGTGCTTTAGCATTTATTTAAGTAAAAACGCAGCACAACAATTTCCAGAATATTTCAGTAACATCACTAACCTAATAATTGTGTCATTTGCATTCAAATTTCTTGATAAGATAAGAGCAGAATTAAAATTAAGTGAATAACATACCTAATATTTCTTGGGTCAACGATGAAGTCTTCTAATGCAGAGTTCCGAAAGCTTATTGATTTGTAATGAGTAGATTTGCGACGGAGTTCCGCTCTAAAGGGTGCCGTACCTCATAGGTCAGTTTCCTACATAAATTGCATTTGTATACAAACTTCTTAAAATGTTTTTGGATAGAGACCGAAACAATTCGAGGAGACCTTATATGGCCAATAGTAGATATGTTATCTTCTTCAAATTTCTAGTTTGCCGCAACATTGTATCAGAAGGAATGCATCAATCAGAAGTCATTATTTCATACATTTTGATACTCAGGGAAATCCGGAACGTGCTCCGAGGCAACAAATGTGATATTCAATGACTTTGCTAGGTTTACCAGTTCAGATCAGCACTATTTTCCCTTGTTTCAACATATTCATGACACTTAATCTTAATTTAGCAATTTACTCCACAAACACAAGTGGTTTATATCA